TGAGCAAGGCTTTATTCTAGGAAGTCCTAAGTGAGCACTGTGTGGTTGTTTCCCTGGTCTCAGGTAGTTTCCCCATGCACACGCACTGCTCAGTCCCCTGCTGAATACTTAAGAGGAAATCCTCAGCCAGTCTCCAGAGTTCCAATTGTCTTCTCTCCAATGCTATGTCCTATAGATTCTAGCCATATAGGTCTCCCAATTTAGGGATTCTTCTGGGCCTTGCCTGCATTTTCCCTCGCTGTGTCATAGCCTAAAAACTAACTTAAGGCAGTAAACTGGGGCAATGTAGAACTCATTTCATTTGTTTCTTGTCTCTCCAGGATAATTGTCCTTTATTGCCTGATACCCAGTATTTTGAAAACTGTAGTTTCATACAGCTTGTGTTTTTATTTTTGTTGTTTTAGTTGTTTTGGGCAGGCGAATAAATCTGGTCCTTGTTATTCTCTCAGCCAGAAGCAGAGTTGCCTTCAGGTTTTAATTTACTTTGAAAATCTTTTGCTAGCAGGATAATAAAGTTGAAAAACACTTTTATTTTCCAACTCAGTCTGCTGCTCTGGCCCCTTTATGTTCTTCTTAATTCTGCTTGCAAACTGAATAGCTTTTACTTTAGCTTATCTCTCTTTTCTAGTTCTCTACTATATATCACAAGGACCAGCCAGCTGTTAATTTCAACATTTTGCATGGAGATCTCCTTACCAATCAAAAGTTCTTTTAAGAGTGTTTTCCATCTTCCATGCTAACATAGACTACAGTTTTGGAAATTGGTGTGTGTGTGTGTGTGTGTGTGTGTGTGTGTGTGTGTGCGCGCGCGCGCGCACGCAGTTTCCTAACTAATTTACCAACCTTTGTTTTAATGCCTTGTTTCAAAGCCAATGACATACATTTCAGCTTTTTATTAGGACAGAGCCCCATTTGTAGATATCAATTTCCTTATCATTTAGTTCTTGATACATTATAAGCTGCCCCTAAATTTTCATGTCTTAAAACAATAATCACTTTTCTGGACATAACTTTGTACATTAGCAATCTGGGCTAGGTTCGGCTGAGCAGTTCTGGCCTGGATCAGGCTCAGGTAAACTCAGTTGTACTCACTCATGCATCTCCAGCTAGCTGGTGGGTCAGCTCAGTCTGGTTACTTAAAGAAGAATTCAGTCAGGATGATTGAGCCTTGCTCCAGAAGCCCGTTTAGTTGGAAATGGTTCTGAAGTATTAAAACCTGCGTTTTCCTCATTGGGTTAATTAATCAATTTATACTGAACATAATTTTTGTTATGTTCATGTTTAAATCTACTATATTACTATTGACTTCTTAAAATTATTATTCCATTTCTCCTTCCATAAATTAGAAATCATATACTATTGAGCTATATCCACAGTCCTTTTTGAGACAAGAGTCTCACTAAGTTGCAAAGAATGAACTTGAACTTGTGATCCTCCTGCCTTAGCTTCCCAAGTCGCTGGAATTACAAGTGTGTGCCACCCACGGCACCCAGCATTATAATATGTATTCTTTTTTTTCTGGTGACCAGGGATTGAACTCAGGGGCACTCAACCACTGAGCTACATCCCCAGTCCGATTTTGAATTTTATTTAGAGACAGGGTCTCACTGAGTTGCTTAACGCCTCATAGTTGCTGAGGCTGGTCTTTGAACTCAGGATCCTCCTGCCTCAGCCTTCTGAGTCGCTGGGATTACAGGCATGTGCCACTGTGCCTGGCTTAACATGTATTCTTTATTTATCAAAATCTAATTTTAATTGTTGCTTTGACTCTGTTTCTGGATAGTGAACTGATTTTAGACACTTTAATTCCTTTTTTTTTTGTCTTGAACTTAAATACTATTGTTATCATTTAGTCACTGTATATTTTAGCTCCTATATGAGGTTATTATTCATACATTTACCACTTTGATGCACTTCATTCCTTCAAGCACTTCTGGGTTTCCAAATAGGGTCAGATTAGCATACCCAAATAGAGGTGGTGGGTGAAGGTCCCAAGAAGGATCAGAAATGCCTTGCAAGGTAGTTACCTCAGGGGAGGCCATTACGGGTCTTTCAGGCAAAGGGGAAGAGCAATTCCTCAGGCAGAGGTAGAAGGGCTGCTTCTCCTGGAAAATAAAATATACATTAGAACCTGCCCATAGGATCTCATCTAAATTTTTGGGATGCCATTCCTTCCCAATGAATGATTCCTCACTGTAACAACAACAACAACAACAGAGTGTTTTCAGCCTTTTTTTCTGTTGCTATAACAGAAAACCACAGACTGAGTAACTAATAAACAATAGAAGTATACTTGACTCACAGTTCTGGAGGCTGGGAAGTCCAACATCTGGCAAGGGCCAGCAAACACACATGAAACAGAGAGGAAAATTGGGCCAAACTCATCCTTGTTATCAGTAACCCTCCCAGGATAACAGTATTAATTCATTCATGATGGCAGAACCCTCATGACTTAATCACCTCTTAAAGATGCTATCTTTTAACACTTGTAACACTAAGATAGCACTTAAAGATGCTATCTCTTAACATTTCTGAAGACCTTAAGCTGGGAATTTAAAGTCCTGTACTTCTCTAATTTCTTCAGCAAGCAACCAATCAATCCTCCTATACTTAGTTTAACAAAGATGTTCTAAGATAGCAAATATTTGGTCTTCCAGAGTCTTGACTTGTATAAGTGCTTGATTGAAGGTGATAATTTAACTTTTGCTGCTTCATGGGATGGACTACAAGTATTCCTCTTTATCACTTTAAGGTTATTGGTGCCTTTAAATCTAATCAGACTAGGGACCTAATGCCAGAAAACCCAGGACAAATACTCATTCTTAAGACTTTTGTTGTTCTGGAATGACTTTCAGTACCAAATTCTGTACCAGTCAGGGTTCAACCAGTCAGGGTTCAACCAGGGTAGAACCAGTAAGAAATATACAGTCATGTGCTGCATAACTACATTCTGGACAATGACAGACTACCTGTATGATGGTGGTCCCATAAGATTATCTTGCCTAGTGACATAGTAGCTGTCTTAGGTTTGTTTAGTTATGTTCTATGGTGTTCACACCATGATGAAACTGCCTAGTGATGCATTTCTCAGAACATATCCCTGTCATTAAGTGACACACGACTTTGTGTATACATACTGATTCTATGTGTGTGTGTGTGTGTGTGTGCACAAGCGGGAGTTAATTAAGCTGTCTCTATAAAGCTACGGTCTCCATATCTGATGCTAGAGCTTGAAGTTCAGAGAGCAGGTAATCAGGAAGATAACAGGCTGAAACCCACACACATAAGCTGGCACCCCACAAAAAGGTACTGAAGCTTTCCATTCTTATTGCCTCTGACCTTGGTGATGGGGAGTCCTGCAGAATCCAGAGCTCTACATCAAGAAGTTAAACACATTCACAGCTTAGATATCAAAGAAGCTAACAGAGGATTCAGGGAAATAAAGAACAATTGCAGGCCTAACTGCAACTTTATGCCAATAAGATGTCAGTAGATCAGTAACAGCATGTGTAAAGTACAAAATGGCTACTATTTCCAATCTCTCAAGAATTTTCCTCGTGGCCCGCCCTAACCAGAAACATCTAAACAAGGGAATTCTGAGAAAGGAAGTTCAAGGTAACCAAATTGACCCATTACAAAGCCCATTACATTCTTCAATGCTTAAATGTCTCTTCAGACCCTTTTATTGAGTTAGCTTTACTAAATTATGTTTTTCCTGCGGAAATAGTCCATTCACTTGGTTTAAAAAAATTATTGGCATCACAGAGAACCTCATAAATATTAATAATTTTTGTTTTTATATAAGTTAAGAAATTTTAATTTAAAAATTTTTTAAATTAAAAATTAAAAAATTATTGGCATAAAGTTATCCAAGAATTCTTATGAAATTCCTTTTAGCAATTTATGATAGATCTACAGTTTTATTCCTTTTTCACTCATTCATTAATATGATTATCTTTATATTGGGTTTTTTGTTTCTTTCAATTTTTAATTTGTTTAGTTATACATGACAGTAGAATGAATTTATGCATTTTAATATATCATACATAGATGGGATATAATTTCTTCTTTATCTGAGTGTACATACTGTAGAATCACATTGGTCATGCAGTCATAAAGTAATAATGTCTTTTGTTCTACTATCCTTTCTATCTCCACATTCCCTCCCCTCCTATGTTGGGTTTTAATTTAATTGCATTATGATTAGAGAAGGTAATATCTTTGTTATTGATTGGTATTTAAGTTTTGTGCTCAATTTTTATATATGTTCCATATGGGCTTGAAAATAATGTATATTCTCTAAAATTGATTGCAGAGTTGTATGTGTGCACATATACATATCTATATAAACACTATACACACACACACACAAGACCACAGGCCATCAGGTGGGTTAACTGAGTTGTCCAATCATCTATAAAATAATTTTTATTTACATGATCAATTACTGACAAAGATATTTTAAAATCACCCTCTACCAACTTAATCTGGTAAGTATATAAATTTTTGTATAACTTTTAAACCTTTATTATTAGATGCATATGCATTTATAAATATTATATCTTCCTGGTGAATTATTCCTCTTAGCATTCAGTAATGATGTTTTTTTTTTTATCCCCAATGACATTTTTTGCCTTAAAGTCTAACCTGCCTGATATTAATATTGCTATACTTTCAATTATGTTCCTTTTTTTTTTTCCTTTTTCCCCCTTTAGGAGTTTCTTTTACTTTCCTGTAAGCTCAGTTGTCTAATAAAAGAAAAAAAATTTTTTTGTTAAATTTTATCCATTATTTCTGGTGTGTGGAGCAGGCAGGATTACAGGGACTGGCATGTTTCTAGATCTTGAAGTTCTAAAACTTTTTTAAAAAGCGAAACATATACTTACCTTTAAACAAAAATTTCATTTCGTTCGACTCAAGATCAGAATAGCAGAATAAATTGCACAGTATATGCATAACCAAGGCCCCATCTTATCAATGAAGGTATCAGACCATATTAATTATAGGGATCAATGTAAATGTATTCACTTAGTACTACCATAAGACATGAAAAAAGTTTTTCTCCCACAGTCTTCCCCAACAATATAATGTGGTCCCCCTCCCTGAAGAGTGGTTCCCCCACAATTAAGGATCACTGGTTTATGGAATCTCCAAAAAAGATTACAATTTAAGGATGGAAATAGTTTATTCCATTAGTAGCTTGGTATTCCTCCTCCCATCCCTCAGTCACAGTTGTTGAACTTAATAGTTCTCTCTGGTGCTCTGTGGGTTCCTTTCAGGATGTTTTCAAACTGCTCTGGTCTCCCAATTAGGTGGCATCCAAGAGACCAACACTAGGCTCAAACCCAGCTTCTCAATGGCAATGGGTGAGTTCCAACATTAGAGGCAAATCTTATCAGCTGACATTTAACCTAGTCTACCAACTATAGTTTGCTAAGGGCTTCCGACACCCATACTGTGTCTGTTTATGATGGGAATTGGGATCTATTATTCTCGATTAGTGACTATGAATTTCGGTGGTCCTGGAAAAGATTGTGATTTGAGTTCAGCTGTTTACAAGGAGCCTGAGGGAAGCTTTCATTTATAGTTAGCAAACTTGGCATTTGATGTGTTCAACTTCTCATATTTATGCACTACATGGAAAGCCTTTAAAAACTCATTAAAGTCAATGCTTCCATCTTTGTTTAAGTCCATTATATTGGCAAGTTCATCAACTTGGGAATCATCAATATCAACGCTGTAGTGAGTCCTGAAAAGTTTCCACATGGCCCGAAATTCTTCCATGGAGATCAGGCCTAAAAGAACATAGGAGAGAGTGGTGAGTGTTCATTTCAAGACCTACCTCAGGGAAGGATGAGGAAGCCACACTGATTGAAATAGCTCCAATTAGAAGCTCACTAATATACCTGACTATGAAGACACTGACGGAAATGGAGGTAAGGTCATAAATGTAAGCAGCAATATGTCACATGTCACTTTCAACTACCAAGTCATTCTGAGATTATTCTAAATCCAGAATGAGTAAACAGTGAAGAAATGTTAAGGGGATACGAACTGTGGGACTAGATGTAGTAAAGAAACTGCAAGAACTAAAATCTAAGGGTAAGGGACATGGAAGGACAACAGAGCAGAGAGCGAAATCAAAGCAGAGGGAAAAGGTACCTTGAGAATCAATGATAAGATTGCAAAAAATGATGTTGCCTTTTATTTACATATATTTATTTATTTTTAGTTTTCAGTGGACCTTTATTTTATTTATTTACATGTGGTGCTGAGAATCGAACCCAGTGCCTCACACATGCTAGGCAAGTGCTCTCCCACTGAGCCACCACCCCAGCCCCATGATGTTGCCTTGTTAATAGGCAATAATTTACTTACATGGTTTAATTGTTGTTGTTTTTTTTTGTTTTTTTGTTTTTTTGTTTTTTTTTTGGTGTTCAAAGGTCTCTGCAATAGGGGAATAGCTGATTTTTTTTTTTTCCCTTGTGATGCTGGGGATCAAATCCAGGGCCTTGCACATGCTAGGTAAGCACTTTATCACTGAGTTAATTCCCAGCCCTAATATATATATTTTTTAAGTTTGAAAAGAAGTTAATTGTTCATCAAAGATAAATAAAAATGAGTTTTTATAGCTCGCAGTCTCCCAAAAAGAGCCAGAACTCTAGGAATGATTTTTATTTCAGGAATGACTAAAATATTAAAATGGAAAGTAAATTATTCTTCCATTATGCTGGTGATTTAGAAAAGGAGCTATTCCAGTTCGACCAATGGCTATTGGGCTTGTATAGAATTCTATGGTCTAAAATACAGAATTTTGGGCCAAACTAAAATAACAACAACATTAAACGTGAATTTGATTCCTTCAAATTTCATCAACTTTGTATGAAGAATGAAATAGATGAAAACAGTTCTAATTTCGGAGAAGCACGCCAGTCTTTTCTTTCTACTACTACTGAACTAATCAAAGTTCATTTACCTGAGTGATCAGAGTCAATGACATTAAATATGATTTGCAGATCAGATCGGTATCTGTACAGAGTTTCAATTAGAGTAGATTGGACCTAAAACAAAGATTTTCTAAGTGTTAAAACAAAGAAATAATGACATAGATTAATTTTAGCAAATGAAACAAACACAAGACATCATCATTAATTCAAATGATATGATTTAAATAGAAATTTGAGAAGGCAAGCCTTCTGTTGGCCCAACCATGCTTTTTATTTTTATTTTTTTTGGTACTGAGGATTGAATCCAGGGGTGCTTTACCACTGAGCTAAGTCCCCAGTCCTTTATTTATTTTTTATTTTGAGGTTGGGTTCAAACTTGTGTTCCTCCTACCTCGGCCTCCCAAGTCACTGGGATTACAGGTCTGCGCCACTGTGCCCAGGTTGGCCCAATCATCTTTAATCAGATAAAATATCTTGCTCTATCTGATTCAAATGTATGATATGTCAAGGTCATTGTACTGTCATGTATAACTAATTAAAACAAAACAAAACAAAAAAAGATCTTGCTCTGGTGTTCCTTAGGGGACCAAAGTAAAAAGACAGCAATAAATAACAATTGCCAACACATACAGAAAGCTTTATGTGTTTCATTTCATTCAGTACTTGACAACCATAAGGAATAGGAACAGACCATTATTATGTCCATTTTACAGATTAGAAAACAAAGTAACTTTCCCAAAGGTTACGTCACATAGCTATGAATCTGACTCAGCTCTCTAAAACCAAGATCTATGATCTTAATCACCATGGTAAACTGCTTCTGAAGTCAGGCCAAAAGCCTCCTTCCTATGGATATTTTAGCTTTCAACCTGTACTTTTACTTCCCTTTTCTGTTTTTCTCATCTTCACTGCAAACAATAAACCAAGTCCTAACTCCAATCAGCTCAATGTTATAACTAATTACTGATGAAATGTTAACTAATAAGAGCTGCAATCTGATAACTCCCTGGGCTATTCCCTTTTTATTAAGAGATTTTATGCTTTAAAATTCTTTAAGACATATTCTAGTTCATGTCAGCAAGTCTATACATGGTTTGGAATAATTAACTATTGTTAAGCAGTATGCTGCATGAAAGAATGAATGTCATATCTGCCATTCTGCTGGACAGTAATTAAACAAGAATCACATATTTGACATGAGTTTTCATGCCAAAGCTTTTTCCTTTTTCTTTTTATCTATCTTTAGAAGGTATAAATTTTCTGAACAGACCACAAAGTACCTTTGGCCTTTTCTGAAACTGCCACTTCCATCCATTAGATGATTCCATTCCTAACTTTTCAAAGGATTGAGTTACTTAGAGGTTGTCCCAAGGGTATTTCTCCCAGCCAGGTTTTAGTTAGGGCTATGTGTCACTTGCCTCTTTCACAGGTTTTTCAATGTGGACATCCTGGAAGCTGGACATGTAGTCAACATTTCCATTTGTGTCTATGTTTACCAGACGCAAACTCAGAGATCTCCATGGTAAGTTCAGCCCCAAAATGCTCTCCATAGAAAAAGCCCATTGGGCTATTGAAATTTTTCCTAACAACAAAAACAAACAAACAAAAAGCACCCATATAATTTGTTATAATTTGACAAAAAATACGTATGTCCCTTGGCAAAACCAGTAACAGCATGGGGTTTTGAGGCCTGAGGGCCTGCTGGTTTCCTTCATGATCTGTCCTACTCTGGTCCTAGAGCTCTGAGGAAGAAAAAACTAAGGATAGTCTTTCATATTCCACAGATCTTGCCTGTACTGTCGTGTGTAAGAAATCATACTTAGGGTATTAGATTGTTTTTGCCTTTTTCTGATTAATGAATTAAGGTATACCTATTTATTATAGAAGATTTAAAAAATATACAAAGGATAAAAAATTTAGTTTGATTTTTAATATTTCAGTATATTACTCATCTATCTTCCCAATATCTTTTCCCAAAAATCTTGAATGTAATTTTTCAAAATATAAGTATCTTTATTTTTCTGATTATTAAAAATTATTCATTTTAAATGATTTTGAATAAATATAAAACAATGTTATAACTTCTAGTTTTTTTCTATGTATATAAATGTGTATACATAAATGTATATATAGTTTATTTTTCTTAAAATCAAATATTATTGTACTCTAGCATTACCGCCACCCCCACCCAGGGTTAAGGACCAAACTTAACTAGGCAAGCACTCTACCACTAGCTAAATCCCAAGTCCCCATGTACATATGTTTTATATACATGTATTGCATATGGTATAACACACGTACACACAAACATTTAGTCTAACCTATTTTTTATTTTACTTACATCATGGACTTCCATCTATGTTAATAAACATAGATCTACATTGTCATTTTAATGGCTATGAAACTATTCCATTATTTCCTTAGGACCATTCCTAGAAGTGGAACTGAATGATCAAATGGTATGCAGATTTTTAAGGCTTTCGATAAACGTGGTCATCCCTTGGTATCCATGGGGGATTGATTCTAAAACCCCCTTACGGATACAAAATTCCACAGATGCTCAACTCCCTTATATAAATGATGAAGTGTTTGCATATAACCTACATATAGCCTCCCATATACTTTAAGTCATCTCTAGATTATTTATAATACCTAACACAATGTAAATAGTAAACAGATTGATTTTTTAATATTTCAAAATATTTTTCCCAATATTTTGTCTTTTTTCTTTTTAAAATTAATTTATTTATTTTAATTAGGTATATATGACCTCAGAATGCATTTTGATTCATTGTACACAACTGCAGCACAACTTTACACTTCTATGGTTGTACACAATGTAGGGTCACACCATATGTGCACTCATACATGCATCTAGGATAATGATGTCCATCTCATTCTACCATCTTTCCTGCCCCCATGCACCCTCCCTCCTCTCCTTTCCCTTTACCCAATGAAAGTTCCTCCATTTTTCACATTCCCCACCCCCAAACTCCCTTCCAACCCCACCCTATCCCTGTTACGGACCAGTATCCACTTATCAGAGAGAACATTTGGCCTTTGTTTTTGTTTGGGGGGGGGGATTGGCTTACTTCGCTTAGCATGATATTCTCCAACTCCATCCATTTACCTGCAAATGCCATAATTTTATTCTCTTTTACTAATGAGTAATATTCCATTGTGTATATATACACCATAGTTTCTTTATCCATTCATCTATTGAAGGGCATCTAAGTTGCTTCCACAGTTTAGCTATTATGAATTGAGCTGTTATGAACATTGATGTGGCTTGTTACTATAGTATGCTGATTTTAAGTCCTTTGGTTATAGACCGAGGAGTGGGATAGCTGGGTCAGATGGTGGCTCCATTCCAAGTTTTCTAAGGAATCTCCATACAGCTTTCCAGACTGGCTGCACCAATTTGCAGTCCAACCAGTAATGTATGAGTGTGCCTTTTCCCCAACATCCCCGCCAACATTTATTGTTGTCTGTATTCTTGATAACTGCCATTCTGACTGGTGTGAGATGAAATCTTAGAGTAGTTTTGATTTGCATTTCTCTAATTACTAGAGATGTTGAACAAACATTTTTTTCATATGTTTGTTGATCAAATGTATATCTTCTTCTGAGAAGTGTCTGTTCAGCTCTCCTTAGCCCATTTATTGATTGGGTTCTTTTTTTTTTTTTTTGGTGTTAATTTTTTTGAGTTCTTTATATATCCAGGAGATTAGTGCTCTGACGTGAGTGTGGCAAAAATATGCTCCCAAAACGCAGGCTCTGTGTTGCAATATTTTATCTTAATGGTGCACTGTAAATGCAGTGGCATCCACCCTTCTAGTGAGTTATACTGGCACCACAGTGGGAGGGCTCCATCCTCTTCAGTCCTAGCCAATTAGCTGGAGACCAACTCTGAGTGGAGGTCCATTAGTAAACTTCTGTCCCACCTAGTGGGCCAGAGCTATTCCCTCAAAAATGTGGTCTTAATTTCAACCTTGGTTAGGAGTTAAGGAATTCTTCTAAGTATGTACTATCCTTGAATATGCTCTCTCAGCTTTAGAGATAATAGCTCCTCTCTATACTTGCTATTTCAATTTTTTAAGAGTTCTCTTGTATCCTTTTTAATAGTTAATCATCTTTTACTAGTTAATAATTCTTTATATTAAATTTCCCAGTTCAAATTATTGATGTGGTTTCTGCACTCTAAATAGACTCTAATACATACACTAATATATGGAAATGAAATCAATTTTTGTATATTGACTTTGTGTTTGACAACTTGCTAAATTCATTTATTAATTCCAGTAGTTTTTCTGTGTATTCCTTTGGATTTTCTGTATTTTCAATTAAGTTGTCTACACTTAGAGACAGTTTTATTTCTACCTTTTTAAGTTTTATTTTATCTCTTTTATTTGCCTTATTGGACTGGCTAGCATCCCTACTAGAATGTTTAACAGATGTCCTGATAGTGGGCATCTGTTATTAGTTTCCTATTGCTTTAATACCAAATTAACACTGATTTAGTAGTGAAACAACACAAAGGTATTCTCTTACAGTTCTGGAGGTCAGATGTCTGAATTAGCTTTCCTGGGCAAAAGTCAAGGTGTCAGCAAGGCTGGTTCCTTCTGAAGGCTTTGAAGGGGGGAATCTGTTTCCTTGCCTCTTCCAAGCTTCTAATGGTTGCCTATGTTTATTGGCTTCAGGCCTTTTCTTCCATCTTCAAAGGATTTCAATATCTGGTTCCATCATCATAGAACCTTCCCTTCTGACTTTGCCTCCTCCTACATACTTCTTAAAAGAACCACTGTGATTACATTAGGCCCACTTGATAATGCAGGACAATCTCCCCAGGTAAAGATCCTGAAGTTAATCACACTTTGAAGTCCCTTTTTTCATATAAGGTACCCTACTAAGATTCGGGAACGAGGATGTGGACATAAGCCTACCAGAGCATCCTTACTTTCATTCCCACTTTTTCTCCATCAAGTATGCTGTTTGTTATAAGCTTTGATAGATATCCTTTGTGAGATTAAGGAAGTTCACCTCTATTTAGTTTTCTAAATTTTCTTTTAAATCATAAAACTAGGGTGATATAAATGTTTTCTTATTTTGAGAGAATTATGACTTCTTTAATTTGTTAAAGTGGTAAATTACATTGATTTATTTTCGAATGTTTAAAAAACCTAGAATTCCTAGCATTCCTAGGGGGAAAAACAACCTGGTTGGCTAATATTCATTTAGGATTTTTTTTTCATCTAAATGCATCATTGAGATTAGACCTTAATTTTCCTTTTTCATAATATTCTTGTTAGGTTTTGATATCAAGGTGATGCTGATCTCCTAAAATAATCTGGGAAGTGTTCCCTCCATTTCTGAGATTTTATAAGACTTCTTTTCTTTCTTAAATGTATATTGCAATGATTAATAAAACTGAGAGCAGAGCTTTCTTTTCATAAAGTTTTAAACTTTCAATTTATTTAATAGTTACAGGATTTCTCAGATTTTCTATTTTTGTGTCAACTTGTGTGTATGTAAATATGTATACTTTAGGAATGTGTCTATTTGGTCTGAATTTTGAATTCATTGGCATTACAGTTTTTACAATACATCTTATGATCTTCCTAAAGTCTGTAGTAATACATTTTTCAATGTTGGCATTGGTTATCTGTGCTTATGCATGTGCGCTCTCTTCCTTATGCATTCTTTCTTTTACTAGTGTTTTATCAACTTTGCCAGTTTTTTCAAAACACTATTTTTTCACTTTGTTAATCACAGTTTCATCTTTTAAAATATATGCATTTAAGGTTATCAATACCTCTCTAATTTGCATTCCATAGTTTTAAATGTTGTATTTTCATTATCATTTGGTTTCATTATTCTAATTTCCACTGTGATTTCTTCGTTGATCCAAGGATTATTCAGAAGTGCATTTCTTATTTCCAAGACAAAAGAGGATTTTATGGCTAGATTATGTTATTGAGTTGTAGCTGCTTTCACTATGCCAGAGAATTAGTTTATTCTATAATGTTTCCAGTCTTTCACAATCTGTTGAGATTTGCTTTATGTGCCAGTTTATGGTCAATTTTTTAAAAATGTTCCATTTGTGCTTGACAAGAATATGTATTCTGAAATGTTGGGTGCGGCATTCTTTGTATGTTTCCCTTCAGGGAAAGGTTGCTAATATTGTGTTGGTCTCTTCTTTTTGTTCCTGAGAGAAGAGCATTAAAATCTCCCACCATGATGGTGGATTTTCCTACTTCTACTTGTTCTCTCTGTTTTTGTATATTTTTGAGGCTCTATTAATGGGCGCATACACATTGAAATGGATTTAATTGGCAAATTAACTTTCAATGTATTGTGTATACAATTCCACTGTCAACTGGCTTCTTTTATAGCTGTTGATTAGTCTATGAGTCTTAACTGTTATGCCTTTGTTGCAATGTTTTTACTCCCTGACAACTTTTATGATTTTTCTCTTTGCTATTAGTGCCTTGTAGTTTCAAAAGTGTATGTAGGTAAAAATTTAATTTTATTTATACCTATTTGAGAATCATTGTTCCTCTTTACCTATCACTTTAGCATTTCATCAGTGCTAGAAAAGTCTGAGGCATTTTACATTCTTTCTATTCTCTCCTCTTAGTACCTTGATTAGATATACATTAAACCTTTATTTATTTATTTTAATTGTTGATAAACCTTTATTTTATTTATTTATGTGTGGTACTGAGAATTGAACCCAGTGTCTCACACATGCCAGGCAAGTGCGCTACTGCTGAGCCATAGCTCCAGCCCCAAACCTTCTTTTACTATTCATAACTCTTAATCTAGTTCTTTCTTAAGCAGTGTCTAATATTCTGTTTAATATGTCTCATATCTATTTGGTTCTTCTTCAAATCATTTTCAATGCATGTTTGTGATTCCATCTTTTATTTCTTCAAATATTTTATATTCTGTATTTGATAATTTCAATATCTGATGTCTTTGGGGGAACTAAAGCTATTGTTGTTTATTTCTGCCAACTCTCACGGTAGCTCATCTCCTTGTTTGGTCATCTTTGGTTGTAAACTCATATTGGCTAATCTTAATCTCTAGATATACTAGTGGATAAAATTAGGGATTCTTCTCTCAAAGATGGATTTGCTTGACAGGAATCAGAAACATTACATACTTACAACTACCCAGAATCACTTTGAAGGTACAAGCATAATGTGGAAGTTCCAAATTCCACCTTTCCACTTTTCTACTATGTAATAGTTTAATGTCAGGATCGATTGCTATATCACATTAGCATTTGCCCCAGGACAATCCAGCCTTTTATGCTTGAATGTTGCTCCATGATCCCTCATGTGGTTCAAAAAGAATGGAAATGCAGCCAGAAGGTTTACCGTACTGGGAGGCTGATAAATGCATTAAAATTATGCCCTTTCCAGCATCTAGCTATTTCCTTTCACCAGAATAGTAGTCTAAATCAGGGTTGTTTTTTATATTTTTAGTTAAAAGAAACTTACTGAAAATGAGATATATGCCTGTTTCTGAGAGAATAATGTATTTTAAAAATTTTTTAACTCTATCATTCCATTCTAGCAAAAATAGAGAACTGAAATCCTAAGGAAGCAAAGAAAATGAAAACTGATACATGTCACATACAAGTAACATGATATGTTAAGAAATGGTAAGCATTATATAATTTTATTACCTGATCGACTGTGGTCTCGAAGTTGGAAAGCATGCATGAGGTCAGTTTTTCGTGAAATTATTCTCTCTTTTAATATCCTGATGGCACTAGTTTCCATAGCATGTACCCTATGTTGAGAAAACAATAATTAATGAAAGTTACATGAACAATTATCTTCTGTTTCATTTTAATGTGCTGTTACCACTTACTAGTTTCTTTTTTAAATGAATTGCCTAAATTTACACATACCATGGTGAATATATGCATTTATATGGTATGTACATGTCATATATACATATATACACACACAAGTATATATACACACACACATGCATTTTGTTAATTTTTTTATTGTTTTTTAGTTGTGTATAGACTCAATGCCTTTATTTGTTTTTATATGGTGCTAGGATGGAACCCAGTGCATCACATTTGCGAGACAAGTGCTCTACCACTGAGCCACAACTCAGTGGTTAAATTTTAAAAGGACTGCAAATAGTATCTTCTCTTAGATTTCAAAGATTCACATAAACAATTGCTTGAGATAGGAAAATAAAAAGGCTACATCAGATACTAAAATTTACCATTAAGTTACTAAAACAAAACAATAGGTATTGACATAAGAGAGGACATATATGAGTAGAAAATCACAGAAATTTCATATATATCAAACTATATATTAGAATAACATATGACAACAGAAGTAGTACAATTCAGTAGAAAGAGACAATTTTTTAAATGGGGCTAGCATAGTTAGCTAACCATCTGGAATCAAACTTCTCAGATGATTTACAAAAATAAATTTAAAATAAAGAAGAAAGAGAGGAACAAAACTGTCATAAGATATACAGTTGTCCCTTGGTATCCAGGGAGGATTGGTTCTAGGATCTCCCATGGATACAAAAATCCACAGATGTTCAAGTCCCTTATATAAGATGATCTATTATTTGCATATAACCTGTGCAAGCCTCCCATATATGTCAAATGATCTCTATTTTATTTATATCTAATTTAATGTAAATTCCATGTACATAGTTGTTATACTCTATTGCTTAGGTAATGATCACAATAAAAAAGTCTGTATATGGTCAGAAGAGATTTATTTTTATTTTTATTATTCTTGGCAGTACTGGGGATTGAACCCAGGGTCTCACACATTAGGCAAACACTCTACCACTGAGCTATACCCCATCTCCAGATTTAACCTTTTTTTGTTTTTGATGTGAAACCCATGGATATGAAAGATTGACTATATATTAAAAAGCAGAATGGCAGGTATAAATCCAATTATACCAATAATATGAATAGATTCATCAAATCAAAACAAACAAATCAAAACAAACAAGATCCAACTATATGTTTTATACAGAAAACATTTTATATTTAAAGATACAAGGAGTTTAAAAGGAAAGGAACAAAAAAGGAAATATTAGAACTAAAGTGCCCATGTTAATAGTAGACCAAAATAGACTCTATAGCAAAAAGTGTTAATTGGGGATATTTTATAATGATAAAATAGTCAATCAATCAAGATAAAAAAAATTTAAACATATATTAACCTAACAGCTGGCCATAAAACTATAAGCAGCAAAAACTAACAAAATTGAAGAAATAGGCAACATTAATAGTTAGGGACTTCAATATTCTATTTTTAATAATGAATAGGACAACTAGGAGAAAAACCAAGGAGGATCTAGGACTTGAACAGCACTGTAAACCAACTGGACCTAACAGATACATATAAAACACTCCACCCCCACAAAATATATATGCTTTTTTTTTTTTTTTTTTTTTTTGGTATTGAGGATTAAACCTGGGGTACTTTACGGCTGAGCCACATCCCCAGTCCTTTTTATTTTTTAGACAGGGTCTCCCTAAGTTGTTTAGGGCCTCGATAAATTGCTGGGACTGGTCTCAAATTGTAGGTCTCCTGTGTTGTTGGGATTATAGGCATGCACCACTGCAACCAGCCAGAATGTGTGTCCTTTTAAAATACATGTGGAACATTTTTCACAATAGACCCTATGCTAGGCCATAATAGAAGTCTTAACTGTTAATTTAAAGGGATCAAAACTATTAAAAGTATCTATTCCGACCACCAAATAGATAAATTCAAAATTAATGACAAACAAATCCATAAATTTTAGAAAATTAAACAATACAATTTTAAAGAACAAATGCATCAAAAAAGAAATCATGGTCTGGGGATATAGCTCAGCGGTAGAGCACTTGCCTAGCATGTTTTACAAAGCCCTGGGTTCAATCCCCAGTATGAGGGAAAAAAAAAAAAAGACAAAGAAATAATAAGAGAAATTAGAAAATAACTTAACATGAATTAAAATTAAAACACCACAAACCAAAACATATGGGATCTAACAAAAGCAGTGATTAAAGGAAAATTCATAGCTATAAATGCCTATAACTTTATAGCTATAAACACCTACATTAAAATACATATATTATAGCTACTAACACCTATCAGTATTGTATTAGCTAAAATACCTATAGCTATAAAGGCCTATAAATACCCATACTAAAAAAAGAAGAAAGATCCCACTCAAATTAATTATAGTCTTCCACCTTAAAACTAGAATAAAGGAATAACCCAAACCCAATGTAAGCAGAAGGAAGGGAATAATAAATGGGACAGAAATGAATAAAATAGAAAAATAGAGAAAATCAACAAAAAATTATTTTTTTTTTTAAAAGATCAATAAAATTGATTAGCCAAGAAAAGTGAAGACTCAAATTTCTAAAGTCAAAAATGAAAGAGGGAACATCACTACTCATCTTCTAAGGGAAAGATGATTATAAGGGAATACTATGAACAATTGTACACTTACAAAATTAGACAATCTAGATGAAATGAACAAATTGCTAGAAAAATACAAGCTACCAAAAACTAAAAAACAGAAAAAATGAACATGCCTATAACAAGTAAAAAGACTGAAGTAATAAAACAACTCACCAAGAAAAGCCCAGAGCCAGATGGCTTCACTGGTGAATTCCACCAAATATTTAAAGCAGAATTAATAACACTCATTAATGACATCTTAAAAAAATCAAAGAGGTGGGAATACTGCCCACTTTGAGAAACCAACATTATCCTGATATCAAGACCAGACAAAGATCACAAGAAAATTATAGACCGATATCTTCTTATGAATATAGATGCAAAATCCTCAACAAAATACTAGCAAGTTGCAACTATCAACTACTTTCAAAATGAATTACACACCAAGAAAGTAGAATTTATTTCAGGAATGCAAGTTTTGCCTTATATCAATGTAATACCCTATATTACTAGAAAAAGGGACAAGAACTATATAATCATCTCAATAGATGCAGAAAAATATTTGACAAAATCCATCAGTCTTTTTATGATAAAAATAGCTAACAAACTAGGCATAAAAGGGAACTTACCTGACCTAATAGGTGTCATCTACAAAAAATACATAGCTAACATCATACTTAATGATAGAAAACTGAAATGCATCCCCCTTAAGATCAGGAAAAATACAAAGATACCTACTCTCACTAATTTTATTCAACATTGTACTGGAGGTTCTAGCCAGGATAACCAGGTAAGGAAAAGAAGTAAAAGTATTCAAATTAGAAAAGAAGTGAAACTATCTGTATTAACATAATATGATCCTGTATAGAGAAAATTCCAAAGAATTTGCTAAAAAACAAATTCATCAAGATTATACAATACCAGATCATTACATAAAAAATCAGTTATATGTATATGTACTAGAAATGAATGATTCAAAAACAAAGAAAACAATTCCAACATAAAAATAAAATACTTAGAAATAATTTAACCAAATAAATCCAAGACTCATACACTGAAAAGTAGAAAACACTGTTGGAGGAAATTAAAGGAGATCTAAACACATAGAATATTCCATGTTCATAAGATTGGAAGACTTAATATTGTTAGGATGGCAGTGGCTCTCAGATTGATCTACAGGTGTCAACATATTCCCTACTAAATTCCAGTTGACATTTTTTCAAGTTGACAAGCTGATTCTAAAATTTACACGGAAAAAATAGCCAAAACAATCTTTAAAAATAAGTACAAAGTTCAACTCACACTTCTGATTTAAACCTTACTACAGATTGAGTACCCCTTATCCAAAATGCTTAGAATCAGAAGTGTTTCAGATTTCAGAGAAATTGGATTTTGGAATATTTTCATTGATTTTACTGGTGCTCAAAAAATTCTGGATTTAAGGTTTTTCAGAATTTTTCAAATTAGTGATGCTCAATCTGTATAAAGCTACAATAATCAGAATAATGTGGTGCTCATATTACACTAGACAGAGATGAGTGAAATACAATTTGAAGTTCAGAAATGAACCTTTACTTTCATGGTCATTTTTTTCTTTGTCCCCTCACTTTTTAATGCTAGGGAACAAATTCAGGGCCTTGCATACGATAGGTAAGCACTCTACTAATGAGCTACACACTCCCAACTCATATGGTCAATTGACTTTTTGACAAGTGGGCCAAGACAACAAAATAGGGGAAGAAGAGACTTTGCAACTAATGGTGCTGGTACAAGTGGTCATCCACATATAAAAGTAAAGTTGGATCCCCCTACCTCACACCATATATAAAACTTAAATCATAATGGATTAAAGACCTAAATATAAAAGCTAAACCTATAAAATTCTTAGAAGAAAACATAAGAATAAATCCTTATGACTTTGGCTTAGGCAATGACTTTTTAGATACAACACTAAAAAACAAACAATAAGTTGGACTTCATCAAAATGAAAAACTTTTGTGCTGCAAATACCATCAAGAAAGGTTTGGATTCATCAGGGCTCAGTGCTGCAGAAAGGCATATGTTTCCAAAAAATGTATATAAGCCCAAGGTACTTTGGAAGGATATTCTAACAGGACAATGGAAAGGTCCTGACCCAGTAATTGTCTGGTGTCGGGGGTCTGTTTGTGTGTTTCCACAGGCAGAACAGCAGCCAATTTGGATTCCAGAGAGATTAACTAAGGTCCTGACCCAGTGATTGTCTGGAGTCGGGGGTCTGTTTATGTTTCCACAGGGAGAACAGCAGCCGATTTGGATTCCAGAAAGATTAACTAAAGCGATTTCTACAGACCAAAAAGA